TTTTTTTAATGATGTTTTAAGCCATTTTATTTGCAGCATACAAAATTTCATATTGCTCATTAGACCCGAGTTGACAAAGATCAGATATGAGGTAAGAATATAAAAAATGAATATAATTCTAGTTTATGTAATTGCTCAGATCAAAGGCAAATTTTCACTATTCTAAAAAGCCTTTTTTGGGGGAAGATGCACTGCATTACTTCACTGTTTTTCAGTGTATTGAGAAAAGTCATGGCAGTGTTGTTCCTGAGCTGCTGTGTGCCAGAAGAATCCATCTTTAGGGAGACAGCACTTGACCTTGCTTTTATTCTTTTGTAGTTTTATTAAGGTCAATATATTGCTGTTTAAATACATATTTACTTCCTATCTTAAGTATGGCTTAGTTATATACAATTTTCTATAATTACAGGGAATATTTCCAGGTATTAAATAAAGCACAGAGTACGTTATACTTCTTTTTCAAAATACTCTCACTTTTTTGGTCCTTCCCAGACACGCATGGCTAGTGTCTCAACCCACCCTTAACCCTGACATTTTATATTCCCCTATGTCTTAGTCTGTTCAGACTACTGTTAACAAAACACTGTAAACTGGTATGTCGGTGTCTGGTGAAGGACTGCTTTCCGGTTCTTAACACTGCCGTGTTTTCATCATAACCTCGCACGGTGGAAAGAGAGGTCTCTCTGGGGCCTCTTTTAAAGGGCACTAATCCCACTCATGAGGGCTCAGCCCCCATGACCTGATCACCTCCCAAAGGCCCATACCTTATCATCCTGTCACCTTGGGGTGAGGATGTCAACAGGAATTCTGGGAGGACACGGACATTCACATTATAGTAGCACATTTCTACTTTTTTCCCCACTCATTACAGTCTGACCTACTATATATTTTATTCATCCAACTGAGGTTTTTTTCTGCCTTTTGTACTTCTGCTTCCCCTCTCATAGCTCATGGCAGGCCTTCAGTAACACTGCTCCATCACCACGTTTCTTCCACTTTGTTTCTGCTATTCGTTGTTTAAAACTCTGAATGTGTGCCCTACAGAGACCAACATCCCTGAAATGAGGCAGTTGAGCTGACACATAGATTGGGTGCTAACCAACAATGCAAGTTCTCTACCCTTTAGTGAAGAGAAGCTACTTTTAATTTCTCCAAACTCTTAAGAGCATTTGGGTGATTGAGGCAGAAAAGAGAAGGGGATGCTAATGGGGACTTCCTGCATGGAGCAAGGGATTATCACACCGACACCTTTATTCCCACTTCATTGCGAATCCCTTTCAAGTTGTGAACGGTGAGGGTACTGAGGCTTCAAGATCCATTATGTAATTTTAATTTAATTGAAGACTGTTATTCTAGATCAGTAGTTCTCGTCTGGAAACAATTTTACTCCCTCTCCCCTTATGGAACATTGGTAATATCTGGAGACTTTTTTTTTTTTGTCTTTTTTCGTGACCGGCAACGGATCGCAACCCTCAGTGTCGCACCC